TAAATATGAATATAATATGTATTTATAAATATAAATATAAAATATAAGTATAATATTTATAATAAATATAAATATTTATAAATTTATTAATTTAATTATTGAATATATTTAATATATACATATACATAATGTATATATTAAACTATAATAGATACTGCCCGAAGTCTGCCAAAAAGGTTGAATTAATTTTTATATTAACTAATGGTATACTATTTATACTAATGTAAATAACATTAGTATGATACTACTTATACAGTATAAGGACAGTAATTACTAATAATACTGTTTTCCCACATCCTTAGCAAAAGAATGTTAGAGCTTTTTGTTGCATGCAATTTGATGTTAAAAGTGGTACCATATTTTTCTTAGCACAAATAATGTTGGACATCTTTTCAAGTAAAATAGAAAAAATGAATTTTTTTCTCGGATACCTGCTTATATTATTTGACCACTTTTCAGTTGAGTTGTTGGTCATTTTCTTACTGATATGTTAAGTGAAAGAAATTGAAGAGAAGGCTGTTAGTCAAAGGAGTTAACTGACATAAGATTTAATTTATCTTCCCAATTTGTCATTGCCTTTGATTTATCTGTGGTGCTTTTTGCCATGCAGAGATTTGGGGGTTTTACATAACTGAATTTATCTTTTTATATAGCTCTTGAGTTTTGTATAATAAGATCGTCTACAGGCCAAGACTATAGAAAAACATTCTCTCATATTTCCATCCACTACTTTTTATTTCACTTTTATGATTAAGTCATCAATCTACAGAGAATTTATCTCAGTGTAAAAAATCAAATAGAGAGCCAACATTATTTTATTTGAGATGGCGTACCTACCAGGTTTTATAACTGGTATTTATTCAATAATTAATCATCCCCCCATATGCAGTATCCCCATTCGGCATATACTAAATACCCATATGTAGGGTGCCTGGGTGGCTCAGTCGTTAAGCATCTGCCTTCAGCTCAGGTCATGATCCCAGGATCCTGGGATTGAGTCCCATGTGGGGCTCCCTGCTCTGCAGGGAGTCAGATTCTCCCTCTGCCCCTCCCCCCATTCATTCTCTCAATCTCTCGCTCACTTGCTCTCTCAAATAAGTAAAACTCTTTAAGAAAATAAATAAATAAATATCCATATGTATTTGGTTCTATTTCTCTGCCCTTGAAACTGTACCATAATCTATTCATACTCCAGTACATATTATTTTGAGTACTTTGGCACTATAATATTGTCTCATATCTGTTCCTACTAATCTTCCTTTATTGCTCTACCTTCACTTTTTACATCTATTTTTATATAAATTTAGAATCACTTTTATCTGTTTTTTAAGTTTATAGAATAATTTATAACCTTATGTTGTTGAATTTTACTTAGTATATGTTTGCCCTTTATTCAACAATTCTTTTTGTCCCCTACTAACATTTTTAAATATTCTTATTTAATCATGCACATTTTTTGTGTTTATTCCTAAGTATTTAATAATTGTGTTGCTATTATAAATGGAATATTATTTTTCATATAGGAAGGATTTTGATTTTTGTATTTTTATTTTGTACATTATTATAATTTACATTTTATAGTTTATATATTTTATAATTTGTAATAATTTTGTAATGATTATAACGTGCCTTAGTATTACCTTAATACTAATGGTAATACTAACTAGTATTATATGTAGGCATGTTCTAAGAGTTCTGTATATATTTGAATACTTAATAGTCTTAACAACCCTTTGGTAGGATTTTATTGTCCCCATTTTACAGAGGAAACAAAAGAATTAAATAGGTTGCTCAGTGTTACACAGCTAGTTACTAATAGAGCCAGTGATTGAACCAACAGCAGGGCTTTAGAGTCTATGCTCTTAACCACTATATTGAAGTATTTGTGATTGTTTTTATATTAGTTTATCAGGATTGCATTAATAATATGCACAGTTAGTGATAATTTACTTCTTTCAAAATTTTAAACCTATATATATAGGTTTAAATATAATTTTAAACCTATATATATATATATATTCCTCTTCATTAAGCATTTAATGGGAACATCCTGAGTTTAATGGGATTTTTTAAATCATTTTTCCATTTTATTATTTTCCCATATAGTTTTCTAGGTCAAGATACATTATTTTCTTGTGTTATGTAAATGAGGGTTAGTCTTATTTCATTCAGAGTTTTTAATCAGGAATGGAGGTTTAATTTTTACAAATGCCTTTTCAACAGCTGTGGTCTGAGTTTTTTCTCTTGATCTGTTAATAGGAGTGTATTATATTAATGAATTTCTCAATATTAGACCATCCTAAATCTTCCATACATACTGTTCTTCTAACACATGCTACATTGTATTTGTATTTTTTTTACCCTGATATTCATATGTGAAATTCATCCATAGTTTACATTTTTATCATGTTCAGGTAACAGTTATATTGGCTTTTTTAAGGAATTTGCAAATTTTCCTCCATTTTGTAGTCCTCCATTTTTTGTAGTCTGCAATGTCCAACACGATAGCCACTACCATGTGTAACCATTCAAATTTAAATTAGTCGTAATAAAATAAAATTTAAAATTCTGTTTCTCAGTTACACTACCTACATTTCGAATGTCCTGTATATGTACTGCCATTTGGTAGCCACTCCCATCATCATGGAAAGTTCTATTGGATAGCCCAGCTCAAGAGCATTTTAAATAGGACTGGAATTAGCTGATTCTTAAAGTATTAGTACAAACTTTCTGCAAGCCAGTGAAGTCTGAGTTGTTGCTTAAGAGGACAACTCTTTGATTTTTCCTATTTTATGGCAATTGGTTTGTTTAAATTTGCTATAGCTTCTGGAACAATTTCTAAAAACATTTGTTACTGCTTCTTTTCTGATTCTCAAAATGATACATGCTCGGTCTAATAAATTTGGCATTCAAAAAAAAAAATACTAAAAGAGAAGACAAATCACCCATTACCCCATGGAATAGTTAACAGTTGAGTATCTTATCTTTTAGGTTTTGTAACCACCTAGATATATATTCTGTAAATTGTCATTGCGTATGTGTCTATGTATGAGACACAAATACGCATGTAAGTTTTGTGTTCTATTTTCAATTAATTGCTGAGCATTTTCCCCTGTCATTAAAAATCTCTAAAACATGATTTTTAGTGGTTATGCAGTAGTCCAATTCCACCACTTACCAAACATGGGCAAGTTACTTAATCTCTTCATGCTTTGGTTTTCTGAACTTAATGCGAATATACCTTCCTCTTATCGTTATAGTAAAAATTATATGAGTTAATGTATATTATTTTTCAGAGTCTCTGAACATGATGCAAATCACTTTTTAAACTTTCAATGAATAGTACCCATTATTACTATCATGTAGATTCCTTGATGACTACTTAAAAATCCACATTACCACTTTTATTGAATCTTCTGGGATTTAAGTGAACACTTACTACCAGGTAGACACAAGGCAGTGAAAATATAGAACTAATATGTTCAGTTTCACTGGTTGCTTAAGTTTATATATATAAAGAAATTACACATACATAAATCAGTTATTGCTAGGATACTTAGCTAATT